TAGGACCCACCCCAGGCGCCCAGGCCCCGCCCCGGGACTCACGGAGCTCATCGAAGTGCGTCTCGATGCCGTCGTGGCCGGGCACGGAGCACACCAGCCGCGCCTTCAGGAACGTGCTCCACTTGTTGACCAGGCAGCAGTGGCCGCCGTCGTCATTCTGGGGGCGGGGGGCGGGGCAGGGCTGGTCGGACCCGGGCACCCGTCCCCACGCCCCTGCCCTGCCCACCGGTCCCCACCCGTCCCCACCCCCTGCCCCTGCCCTGCCCCTGCCCTGCCCCTGCCCTGCCCGAGGAGAAGGGCTGTCGGGTCGGGAAGGCCGCCTACCAGGCAGATGCGCCCGATGCGGGCGTACACGGCGGGGCTCTGCGGCGCCTCGGCCGAGCGCTCGCGGAAGAAGAAGTACAACTTGTCGTCGTTGCGCTCCGCGCTGTCGGGGATGAGCTCCGCGTGGATGAACGAGGGGTCTGCGGGCGCGCGGGGTCAGCGGGGCAGCCCTCCACCCGCCCCCCGCCAGATCCAGGAGCACCCCGACTCCCCCCCAGGCACAGAGCTGGGGATCCCCGCGACATCCCAGACCTGTCCCTGCCCTGGGCTGGCGGGAGGCCTCACCGTTGAGCCAGCGGGAGTTGTGCTGGTCCGTGCGCATGGCCGTCTGCTTGCCGAGGGTGCGGAAGATGGCCGCGTCCGTGCCCATGAAGTCGATGTACACGCCAGCGTAGAGCTCCTCGTCTGTGGGCGGGAGGGTCGTCAGGGGCCGCCCTTTGCCAGGACCCGGGCGATGTCAGGAGCCCACGTGACCTGCAGGGCAGGCCTGTCTCCCTGGGCTGCCCAGGGCCCTGGTGAGTGGGTGCCTGGCAATGCGGGTCAGGGCCCTGGGAGACGGGGCTTCAGCTGCAAGGAGCTCTGATCAGAGCCAGAGCCCGTTTCTGGGGGAGAAGCTGCCAGCCCGGGGGAGGCCCACACTGCTCACAGCATTTCCACCCACAGGTGCGCACAGGCCAGCACCCTCAGGAGCAGGAGAACAGTGAACTGTAAGGTATCAGGAAGCAACGAGCTTCGAGTGCATGTACCTTTTTTAAAGTAACTGATTTAATTGTAACTTCATATAATTTAACTTTTAATAACAGCTCCGCCCCAAAAGTGCTGACATTGGGCTCACAAAACACCTGGAGGCATTACCCAGCCAGCCCCCAGTCTCGCCTCCAGCCTCAGGGCAGGCCCTGTCCCCGCAGCCTCTACCGTCCGGCTAGGACCTTCTCACTCGCCACGATGGGAGGAAAATGCCCATCCCCTGCTCCAGGGCCTGGCACCGCGGAGGTGGCACGGTGCCCAGCAGCTGCTCCGAGAGGCAGACTGGGGTGGGCAGCCAGAGGACAGGCACCGTGCAGGGACCAGGGTCAGCGGGGGGCTCTGGGCAGGGGCAGCAGCTGCTCCTGAGGCCCAGACAGGACCCCTCCTCAGAGAACATTCCCCCAACGCCCCCAGACACCTGGCTAGACCAAAACACTCCCCCAGCAGGTCACGGGGCCAGAAATCCCCATGGGTGCCCCCCGTCGGCCTCTCCCAGCCTCCCAGGCAAACCGAGGACATGTGATGGGATTATGGACCACCCCTAGCCCCCCTTATACCCCCTATACTGACTCAGCCTGTCCGTCCTCTCCTCCAGGCAGCCCGCGGCCACACTGGATTGCAGGGTGGGATCTGACCCCTCCACACCATCTGCCCAGTCTCTGCCCCTCAGCTCACTCACACTGGGGTCTGTCTGTAGCCCTCTCCCCACCAGGTGGGGCCCACTGGGGGGTTCAGGGCCAGCATGTCCCTGGGGTAAGTAGAGGCCACACTTCCGGGCTGTAGGACAGGGTGGGGCGGGCACTCACTGATGAGGGCTGAGGCTGTGTCCAGCTTGGGGTCGTATGGACACTTGCCCTTCCCTGACTCGAGTCTCTCGGGCTCCAGGTAGAAGATGTAATCCTGCAGGGCAGAGGGCGGCTCAGCATCCCAGGCCGGTCCCACGGCCGAAAGGAAGGGCAAGGTCAACAGCCTAGGGTTACCCTGAAGCCACCGCCCTTCACTCCCCAGATCCCGGGGTTTGAACTCCGTCCAGCCAGGAGGCCCAGGGCAGGGCCACACTGCAGGTTCCCAGGGAGGCGCTGCCCGGACCCAGGTCTGAGCGCTCTGCTTTGGGGGCCACGAGAAGGGCACGGGGCGGGCTCACAGGGCTGAAGCCCCTCCACGCCCACTGGGTCAGGAAGACTGAGCTGTGGCTGTCTGCCCTGGGCCCAGGAGGACAGCCGCCTGGTCAGGGCAGGGGCACCGGCCAAAGGTCCTGTCTTTTGCCATCTGGTCCCACCAGGTCAGAGGGCTCCGAGGTCACCGTGCCCCAGGCTTTGTGCCGCACCCGTGGTCCTCAGGACCGACTAATAGGCCACGGCCTTCTGCCTGCCCCCCCTCCCCCCCCCGGGCCTCCAGGTCTCCCCAGGGAGCCAGGCATGGAAGGGTCCCGCCCAAACCACATGGAATTCACAGAGCCTCCCGCCCTGCCCCGCAGATGCCAGGAGGGAGGCTGGTGAAGGCACGGGACCGGGAGGAGCTCCTGGGAGGAGGAGGGAGAGGAGAGGCGCAGAGGCAGGAGGTGCAGCGGGTGGCGGGGGAGGTGATGGGAGGTGTGCACAGGCCCGTCTCCAGTTTCACTCTGCACACGCGACATCCAGCACACATGGGGCTGCACACACGGCCGGGCACGCTCACTGCAGCTGCACACACAGCTGGGCACGCTCACTGCAGCTGCACACACGGCTGGGCACGCTCACTGAGGCACACGGCGCCCACTGTTCACACGCTGGCGCACACGCAGTCCGACGGTCCCCATTCTCTGTACTGCCCGCCACAGACACACGTGTTCGCGACCATCTGCTCTCATTCACCGGCAGCCCCTGGCCCCCTGCCCGCCCCTGCCCAGCCCCAGCCCCCAGCCCCGTCCCAGGTCAGGATCAGTGACAGACAGCTCTGCCCCTCCCGCCCCTGTGCCGACCGGGGACCCACGGAGGCCCGGGGCACGGACCCCTGAGAGAGATGCCGGACTGCACACATGTGCCATGTTCTCACTCGGGTGCTGAGCAAGGTGTGGGCTTGAGAGCAAATGTGTGCCCACATGTATGTTGGCATGTGCTCATGCATGTCTACACACATGTATCCTGAGGGCTCAGGCATGGCTGTCCCCAGGCTCCCGTCTTCCCCACCTGGTGGCTTCATGATTTCTCGCCTGCGGGGTGCACACAAGCGGACATGAATCCCACTGGGGCCGTCAGAGTCCCTGCAGGGGAGGGGCTGGGAGGGGCACAGAGGTAGGGCACCCTGGCCTGGGCACAGGGTCCTGGCAGGAAGGCCGGGCCCAGGAGGAGCTCAGCTCAGAGGCAGGGCTGCCTGGCGTGGGCCTGGAGGAATAAGCCCACCTGGCGTGGGGCTGTGGGCGTCGGGCGGAGGGCACCGTCCGTGGCTCTGCTGCCTCGGCCTCTGACCACCTGCATCTGGGTCCAGGGCGTGGCCTGAGGAGACGAGGAACAGGGGTTAGAGCCGGGGGTGGCAGGGGCTGGGGGAGCGGGCTCGGGCTGCCAGCCTCTCACACCACACACGCCAGGAACACACGTGAGCACCTGGGCCCCCAGAGTACATAGATGCGCCTGTGCGTGCACACATACACACAACTTGGTGCACACCTGCACACACGTGCCCCTAGGTCCAGACACTCTTACAGACACTCTACGAGGTCACGCCAGCCACACACGTGCCCACATGGAAATGGAAAAGGGCAGAAGCGGGCAGGGTGGGCAGAGCTGGGGAAGGGGCAGCTCCCCCCCAACCCCCCATCCCCGGCGGAGTGGCAGGAGCTGGCCCAGGCGTCCGGCCTCCTGACGCTGAGGCCCCGCCAGGCCCCTGGCTGGGCTGCGGGCACCATCCGCAGGCACAGCCCAGGGAACCGCTGCCACGTGTGGAGCGGGTGCCTGCCACGTGCCAGGCACGTGCTAAGAGCTTTGGGAGTTAGCTCACTGCCTCCTCCTCACACCGACCTATGAGAAAGGCACTATGAGCCCATTTTCAGGCGAGGAAACTGAGGCTGAGGGGCGAAAGAGGTCACTCACCCAGGGTCACAGGGGCTCATGCCCCTCCTCCCATCAGAACCCTGGATGGAGCCTCCGATGGGAGCAGCTCGGGGGGGCGGGGGTGTGCAGGCTTACCTGAGCCCGGCGGCCACGGTTTACATAGGTGCACATGGGGTTGTAGGCGCCAGTCCCACACACGTACAGGTGTGTTCGGTTCCAGGGCTGGATGAGCCTGACGAAGTTCCCGCACTCACCCTGGGGCCGGACGGAAAGCCGGGAGGTACCCACGTGCCTGCCTGGCCCCCTGCCTCCCGGGAGCCCCTGCCCGCCGCCCCCTCCCCCGCGGGCCCCCCCCACCCCCACCGCACGCACTCACGTTGCCATCCTTGCCTGAGAGCACGCACTCCTCAATGCGCTGCGGGGAGGCCGCCCAGTGGATCTGCCGGACACGGGGGTCAGGTGCGGCCTGCGGGACAGCCCCTGCCCCTCGCCCCGCGCCCCGCACCCCCCTCCCGTCTGGGCTGGCCCTTACGATGAGGGGCTCGCGGTTGATGTCGTGCAGGTCCAGGGACAGCACGTAGTCCTTGCTGCCCACGTACATGCGGTCGTGGTCCTCGTCCTTGAGCAGGATGCGGTAGTCCGTGGTGTTGAGCAGGAAGTTGAAGAAGTGGGCAGTGCCCGTGGCCTTCAGCTCTGTGGGCGGGGGCAGGGCAGCAGTTAGGGCCCTGGAGACCATCCAGTCACACGCCCCTTGGCAGAGGGGGTCCCCCACCACTCGGTCATCTTCATCCCCGGCCTCGCCTCCAGGGAGCACTTAGCTTCCTCTCTAGTCCCTGACTTTATATATGTTTTTATTGATTTCAGAGAGGAAGGGAGAGGGAGAGGGAGAGAAACATCAATGATGAGAGAGAAGCATTGATGGGCTGCCTCCTACATGCCCCACACTGGGGATCGAGCCCGCAACCCGGGCATGTGCCCTGACTGGGAATCAGACTGTGACTTCCTGGTTCATAGGGCGATGCTCAACCACTGAGCCACACCGGCCGGGATCTAGTTATTTAGTTCAGTGGTCGGCAAACTGTGGCTCGGCAAACTGCGGCTCGCGAGCCACATGCGGCTCTTTGGCCCCTCGAGTGTGGCTCTTCCACAAAATACCGACTTCTGCGCGTGGGCCACGAAGTTTCAATCGCACTGTACGTGCGCGCCCGACCACGGATCTAGTTGCTGACTTGCTGGGAGGAGAAAGGGACAGGTGGGTCAGCAGAGGGGGCCACACCCAAAGCTGAAGCCCTGACGCCTCGGCAATCCCGCAAGGCCTGGGCCCCAGTGAAAGGACAGCGGGCAGGAGCCAGCGAGTGTGGCGGCATCAAAGCGTCTGCTCTGGTCGGGCTGATGCCAGGGCGGGGCCAGCGCCCGCAGGACCTCAAAGGGTTAATGAGCGGGCGGTGGGGCCAGGCGAGCTCAGGACAGCCGCAGACGGCAGACGTTGGCACGGAGCCGGGTGCCCTGTCCTCACCACCAGACAGAGGGCAAGGCTAGCACTGTGTGTGAGTGGGTTAGCCAGGCCACGGGCACGCCCGCCTGCGGCCACACTGCCCGATGGACGGGGCTTCCCCAGGCCACGGCTGCTCACGGTGGGATTCTCAGGCCGCTCTGAGCAGCCAGGAGCGCTTTCTCGGGAAAGAGGCCCCGGGACTGCGGCAGCCCGGGGCGGGGACAGGGGCCTCGGTTTCTCTCCTGCGTGAAGCCGGCAGCTTGGCCCTGCCTCCCCCAGGGAGCTGGGGAAGTCCTCCTCCCGGGAGGGAAGGACAGGAGGGAACTTGGCCAGTGACAGGCCAGTGTCATCCTCTAGACTCTGGTATTTCTCGGAGGCACAGACTCACTGGCCTCCTGGCTATCCTCCCGCCCCCCTCCCGCCCTATAAACTAGCAGTGCCTTCTGCCTGAAATCTTTTCCGCATGATCCTCACTCACCTGTTTTTCAGCTCAAATATGACCTGCTCTGACATGTACT